TTTCTGCATCTAAAGGGAAATATCAGATAAGGAACATATGATTTTTAGACACAACAATTTCATCAACTAACCAGTTTATTGTAGCTCCTATCTTGATCTGCGTATGGCTGCTTTTGGCTTCAATCAATAACTGCAAGCAAAAAAGTTTTGCATAGAAAGTGAATTGCCCCACTAGAGTTTGGCTTTGTTCTTCATCACCTTTTATTATTATTATTATTTTTTAAAGGAGCTAGACATTGAAAAATGTAAAACGTGGCCTCTGGGGAAAGCTGTTTTCGATCTTTAGCAGCTATTTTTAACAGGTCTTTTATATGCCAAATTCTTTAATCCCCCATTACATTGGTTGTTCAGCTTTCAAGGAACTGAGTTTTGAAAAAATAAAAGCAAAAAAAAAATCAAAAAATCTTTATTATTTAGTGTACTGTGTGCTAGCTTTTGAAAATGTTCCTTATGTGCTGCACATAAAATCCCATTCCCTTTTTGTTGGTATTGCCTTAGTTAGTATATAATGAATTGTTATCGTTTTATGATGGAGGGGGAACCAAACTGTCTTTCCTTTCCCATATTTAGGAATTAGCAGCAGCAAAATGTTAGAGAGTGAAGTGGAGCAGCTGCTGAAATTTCACAGAAGCAGCATTTGAGTTTCACACTGGAGCTACGAGGACAAGACAGGATCTTTCTCCAGTGGCCATAATGAAATCCATCATACTTTTATCAAATCAGCATGCAGCATTTTTTTAAAAATTGTTTTCATGGTTACAATGTCTTTATGCATTCTCCTAATATTTTTCATCCTTACGTCAATGAACATTATATATGCTCATGAAATCTGATTCTCCTGATATTGTCACCCTTTTGTCCCAAACTATCACCTGTAATCTTCTCCAGTATCGCTTTGAACACCAACAATCTAAAAAGCTTGAATTTATGCTCAGATCACATGCAATTGAAGAAGTATAATCTCATGAGACAAATTGATATTTTGTGTAACAAATACATATATGAAGGAATGAATCTGAGGGAACTCACAACAGATCCAGAAATACAAAGACAATTCAATCTGTGGTTTGTGTTCAACACGTTTGAGGCAGAACCCATCTTAAATTAATTTCAGACAGCTTTTTTTTTTTGTCATTTGGGTTACATAATGATATGGAGACCCCATCATTAAACAATACGAATCCCTTTAAACAGAGCTGTCTTAACTAATGCTATCATGGAATCAGCTCCATCATTATAAATTATATACATATTAATTTGCATGCCTATATTTCCATCAGCAAAACTTTACTTTAGCATCTGTTCCCATTATATTTTGCTTAGAACGAGGAACAAGCTATAAGAATTACATCATGTGGTTACATCAATTAAATTACATCATGCACAATATACTTGGCTGACTTTGCCTTTTGCCTAACCTAATGTGGAATAAATGCTTTCCCTTTAAATTGCGGATAAAACTGGGCAGTTTAAATATTAGCACTAGCACCAATAGAACAACAGCAAAAACTGCAAGGATCAGAACAAGGTCAATCTGGTGAAGCCATCTGTAGTTAGCATGATATATTTGGAAGCTTGGAAGTGAGAGCTGGACCATAAAGAAGGCTGATCGCCAAAGAATTGATGCTTTTGAATTATGGTGCTGGAGGAGACTCTTGAGAGTTCCATGGACTGTGAGAAGATCAAACGTATCCATTCTGAAGGAAATCAGCCCTGAGTGCTCACTGGAAGGACAGATCCTGAAGCTGAGGCTCCAAATACTTTGGCCACCTCATGAGAAGAGAAGACTCCCTGGAAAAGACCCTGAAGTTGGGAAAGATTGAGGGCACAAGGAGAAGGGGACGAGAGAGGACGAGATGGTTGGACAGTGTTCTCGAAGCTACCAACATGAGTTTGACCAAACTGTGGGAGGGAGTGGAAGACAGGAGTGCCTGGTGTGCTCTGGTCCATGGGGTCACAAAGAGTCAGACACGACTAAACAACAACTATTTGGAAGCTTTTGAGAGAAGCATGATAAAGATGGACAACTCCAGTTTATCCCTAGCCCCTGAATAAGGAAAAGAATATCAGATCTGAATGTGAAAGTTTAATTTAACTACCATGGCACAGATCACTTAAAATAAGAATGCAATTTTTGTGAGCATGATAGTGATGGCTATGAAAAAAAATCGCCTGCATAATCAAGATGCAGTCAATTAAACCAAAGAATGTTGGATTCCCCTATGGGGCCAAAGTTTTTTTGAATTTTGGGCAGTATGGCAGTATGCCCCCCCCCCTTCCTGGCATTTCCCCCTATGCTACATGGGCTACCTACTTCTGCCTAGAGAACAGGGCAGGAGTCATAAGATGTACCATGAGAGGTAGAACTGTCCATAGATCTGATTCCCTGCCCAGCTTCCAGGAAGTGAGCAAGGAATTTCTCTTATGCACACTGCTATGAAAATTCCATCTCGTTCTTTTTTAAATAGCAGAGATGGGTTTTAGAAGTAGTGCACAGTTTCCCGGAATGGGAAGATACTCTTCCATGCACACCTTTTAAAATACAGTCCTGAAGGCAACATAAAGGTGTTGTCCCTTTCTCCCATCCTTAAAGGAAGAAAAAGAGCCTATCTAACAATTTCTTGGGCGTGGTTATTTATCTGCAGCACTGGTTCTGTGACAGTTCCACTCATTCATAGATTTCATTTTGTTTCTCTCTGCATACTGTGTTTGCACTAGATAGTCATCACACAACCCCCCAGTGGAGGATTGGTAGCACCACATCACCATCGTGGATTTGAACGAAGTCAGAGTGCAGCCCCTGTTGGATGTTTTGTACTCACACATCAGAATTCTGGATTTGTATAAAGTCAGGGTAGGGTAGGGTAGCAAAAGAGCAAGTCCTACAGTGTCTGTGGCATAGGAGCAAGAAGCGAGAGACACCGAGAAGGAAATGATGGTGGCTTGAAGCAATGGGAGAGGTCTGAGTAGATTGGGAAGGGAAGAACACTGAGGGGTTTGAAAACAAAAGAGCTCTGAATATTAGTACAGCATGCAATCACATATTTGTGGAAAGTTACCAATCACATTTTGAATGCAATCTTTTTGTTCTGCATATATCACTGTGGACCAAAATAGACATGCAATTATTCATTGTCATTAATTGCATTATTTTTGCTAGAATAAATGGCAGCTGTATGGGGTGTGTGTGTCTGAACTGGGATCATGGCAAGGGTGGGGGCTACATCCCCTTGGACCCCCCTCCCCCCTCTGCTACTTGCATTTGCAGGAAAGGTCCCATTGCAAATAGAAGCTGGGAGATCTAAGTTGGAACCACACCGGGACAAAGGGTTAAAATCCCCCTTCCCACACACCATGGTCTCGATCCCCATGGCTGCTGTTTTCTTAATAGCATCACATCTGCGTTTGTTTGGGAAAGATGCCAAAGTACAGAGCTTTAATTGTAAATGATTGTACAAATACCATTTACAGTGATAAAACTCAGTAAAATCTTTACTATTTCTAAATGCTAGATTTCTGTTAAAAAAAACACTCCACTGTCCTGCAAAGTACTTCCAGATGCAACAAAATGATAAAGTTGAAAGGAATCTTTGGAGTCTTTTAGTCCAGCTTGCAGTGGCAGCAGGAATCCCTTGACTTAGGCCATACCAACCAGATGCTCATCTTGTCTTATCTTAAAATCCTGTACAGGAAATGATTCCACAACTTTCCTGAAAGGCTTCTTCCATTGATACACTTACTACAAATCATAGTTCCTGGATTCCGTTGAGGCCTAGGAATGTCTATTTGCAAAGACAGGTCCAAATTACTTAAGAAAGAAAGACAGAAAGAAAAAGAAAATATAAAATTAACCTAGACAGATGGACTCGTAAGAGTGAAATACAAATAGCCCAAAACGGGATTGATTTCTGCATAATGTGGTGGAGGAATCCCTCATTATTGATCAACTTTTAAAGCTCATGCACAGCGCTTAAAAAGATAAAGTAAGCAAGGTCAGATAATCAAAGCATTTAAATAGTAAAAACAGCAACTGCCACTGTAGACTGCTAAAGTAAATCCATAATACAAATTGCTTTAGCAAAAAGTGGATGAGCAGCTGATCTTCCTATTGAACTTTTATACTGTTCAGTGACCACACAGGGAAAAGGATTGGGAGACATGGCTTAAAGATCGATATTGAGTGAGATGTAGTAGGGATTCATTCAGAACATGAAAGAATTACAAGTATTAGAGAGTTGAGGTATCTTTTGAGATGTCATCAAGAAAAGATTGTTTAGCTCAGTTTAGAACATCATATGTGTCATATGCACAGTAGGCATTAGTCAAATTTCTCTTTTGTTTTCATTGATCCAGTGCGCTTCAGCAGGGTAGCCCAATCTGTCTCAAGGAAACTTTGAGAATGTGATGCTGCTCTATAGCAAAACAACAACTTTCATAAACAACAGGGAAACTGTTTACAGTATTATAATGAAATCAATATCATCTTTTTTTAAAGAAAATCTTTTTTGAATGTCTAATTCAGTGTGAGCCTTTGTGCAGAATGATATATGTTCTCTCCAATTTACCAGACAGCTTTTGTGTGCTAAACTCTTAGATGTGTATTATTAGACTTTTAGTTCATCTTTATTTCTTTAGCCTTTCTCTTGTTTTGTTGCTATGGTACATTTACAAGTTTGTACTGTGCCACATAGTTTGCACTGTTTTTTTTGAGAAAAAAACCTATGTATTATATTGCAGAAAGCTTCTCCTTAGTATATGAAGCAGTACCTGCTTGATTCAATCAAAGCTCTGTTGCATTATTCCAGACTGCTCCCAGGCTAACTGCATGCAGAAAATTACCTGTTTAATAGAAAGGACCATTTAAAATAACATGCTGGTTACTTAATATTGCTGATTGAAATGTACGACAATTATAGTGCAATCCACTTCTATGCAAATCAATCACAAAACTCTCATCGATTTTTTTAATCAATCACATTTGCACCCCTCTTTTTTCCTAGGGAGCTTGGAGCACCATACATGGGCCTCGTTGCATTCTCACAACAATCCTGTGAGGTAGGTTAGGCGGAGGAATGACTTGTCGAATGCTCTCAAGCAGGGATTTGGGCTTGCCACTCAAACCAGTACTGCAATCTGACTCTAAATGGAGGTGGAGAGCACTATTGGACTAGCATTTATGGGACTTTTTGCATTTACCATTTATAGTGGTATCGTTGCTGTTTGATTCAACCTTTAAAAGAGTGCATTTGTAGCTGATTGTCCATGCGTTTGGTCACAAGCAGCTGTTATTAGAGGGTGAGTTTTCCTTACCACACTAATGGCAGGTTGCGCCTAAACTGAGGAAATCTCCATAGCTGTAGTCATACCCTTTATGTACCCTCGTGTTCCTCCAGTTCATAAATATCAGACTTATGAGCATTTGCATCTTTTTTGTGTTCCATGCCTAGTGTTCCGGAATTCAAATCTTCCGGAAGTATAGAAGGTTAGAAGGGGAACTAGGTGTCTGATGCAGCTATGAAGAACTTGGCTACTGTGGTGAAATTTTGTCCGCAGCTAATGCTTGCTGCCATGGGCAGGAGTTTGAATCAGGGCCATCATCTCTGCCTGCCACATCTCTCCACTAAACTGAGCTTGCAAACGGACAGAGGGAAGTTGTTCAAAACAGATGTCTCCCAAGCCACAGTTGCCCATCCTTTCCCCTCTACACAGAAGCTAGGATGTTGCATGTACACATGCCACCAGAATGAAAATATTGGGATCCATTCTGGATATTTCACAAAAGTCAGGGTTGTTGTTGTTGTTGTTGTTTTTGCTGCAGACACAAAGTACATTATTCCAGAACACTAACTGAATAATGACGTTTGGTATGTGGCAGCATGCCCAAAACTTGGGGGGGGGGGAGCAACAGTTATATGACTATAAATGGAAATGGAAAGTGTGGAAAGCCCCTATCATCATCATCATCATCATCACCATCACCATTCATTCATTTATTTATTTATTTATTTATTCATTCATTCATTCCCCGCCCATCTGACTGGGTTTCCCCAGCCACTCTGGGCAGCTTCCAACAAAATATTAAAATACAATAGCCCTTCAGATATTAAAAGCTTCCCTAAACCGGCCTGCCTTCAGATGTCTCCTAAAAGTCTCATAGTTGTTTTTTCCTTTGACATCTGGTGGGAGGGTGTTCCACAGGGTGGGCACCACTACCGAGAAGGCCCTATCAGAAGTGGCTGCAGCTGGTGAACCAGCTGGAACTGAAAAAGGGACTCTGCACCAATGAAGGCACTTGGGCTTCCAGTGACAAGGGTGAATCCAGTAATAGCAGGAGTAAGACACAGACCTGCTGCATCAAGAGGAGTACAACCATATCTAGAACAGATTGGGCCCCTAAGTCCTGGATATGATAACCACCTATGCACAAATATCTGTGTCTTTCTTTGGTTTCAGCTTCAGTTTATTGAACTTTCCCAAGCCCATTACCAAATCTAAGTGCCAGTCTTTCACCTAGATAGCCTCATCTGATTCAGGTCACAAAGAGGGGAAAAAGTTGAGTGTCTTCAGCATATTGATGACATCTATATGCCGCTCCTCAGCGGCTTCAGGTAGATGTTAAAGAGCATAAAGGACAATATGGATTGGCAGATCTTCATACTATAGATGCCATGGAGCCAAGCAGAAGTCCCCCAGGGCTGCTGTCTAGTATTAGTTCAGTAGGCAGGAGTGGAGCCAGCATATCTCCATGCCACCAGTTTCTACACCACAGAGCCAATCCTACAGGATACCATGGTTGATAGCACCAAAAGATTCTCAGAAAAACTAAAACAAAACAGATGGGAAGATGGGAAACATAGGGATGGCTATGCACAGCCCATTCCATTCTCTATCGTTCCACAGCTCATTCTGTTCCACAGAATCCTCGCTTAACTAGACCCCCTTCATGGATTAATCCCATGAAGGGGCTCCACATGATTAAGGGGGAAGCAGGGGTGCCACCCAGTTGTTATGCCCACCTTCCTGGTCTCACCCCTTCATGCATTGAGTGAAGGTCTGAAGGAAGAGCCAGCTGTAGAAACAGGAACATAGGAAGCTGCCTTCTGTCAAATCAGGTCATTGGTCCACCTAGCTCAGCACTGACAACATTGGCCAGTCGCAGAGTCTAGGGTTTAAGACATCAGTCATTTCCCAGTCTGAAGAAGTTACGGATTGAACCTGGGACCTTTTACATAGAAAGCAGATGGGCTGCCACTGAGATACAGCTTCTCCCTCTGCTGTGCAAAGGCTCCTCCATGTGGCTGGTTTAAATTGTAACAAAAGGATTTCCCTCTCTCTAGAGTTAAATAGACATGTGAAAGTAGCCCTCAGAGTTATTTGAGTTGTGCACCCCTACTCCATGAAGTTTGGAACAGTTGAGGGGCAATTCACATCCTGCTTTGCCATAATGAATAGTTATTTAGAACTATTATTGGCTCCAGATTTGCAGCATGAATTGCTGATTACAGCAATTTTAGTGGTAAAATTGTGAAACAATATTCATAGTTGTCAGAAAAAGGTCAGCTTATTTGCATTCATTAGGAACCTGGAGGACCATGTAGCGTGCTTTTTCCTTTGGGATGCTTACAATTATTGATTTGTATACAGCCGTAGGAAAAATTAATTAGAATTATATTTCACTTACTACCAGGGGCTGTATAATATAAAAGCCGTACATTAAAAAAAAAAAAAAGCCGGAACCAGAAAATGGAAATACCATTGTTGTTTTTCTCGGAGTGTAACTTTTCTAGTACAGACCTTATTTACAACAGTCTACACTTGTGTGTGTTGAAACAAAACACATTAATTCCAGTGCTGTGAGAACTTTGGTTCCCTTTTTGGTTTATATTCAAATCCACAAAATCCACTATCTATTGTAGCATAGAGAGTGTATGTCCATCCACCATCCACCAAGGAGTCATTTCCTTTTCACCATAGCATGCTTGGCTGTTAGAGGGACCTATAGGTCGATGCATAACTGCTGGTTTGGTCACTTTGGTCTGTAAAACTTGCACTTCTGCAAGTGCCACAAAATGTCTGTTCCACATTTGTTAGGAACCATTCCTTTAGTGTTCCTTTGGAACTCCCTGCCTATTGACCTTAGGCATGTGCCATAATTTACATTACTGTACTCCTTTAGATGAAGAGATGCGGATGGCACTGTGGGTTAAACCACAGAGTCTAGGACTTGCCGATCAGAAGGTTGGCGGTTCGAATCCTCGTGACAGGGTGAGCTCCCGTTGCTAGGTCCATGCTCCTGCCAACCTAGCAGTTCGAAAGCACGTCAAAGTGCAAGTAGATAAATAGGTACCACTCCAGCAGGAAGGTAAACGGCATTTCCTGCGCTGCTCTGGTTCACCAGAAGCGGCTTAGTCATGCTGGCCACATGACCCGGAAGCTGTACGCCGGCTCCCTCGGCCAATAAAGCGAGATGAGCGCTGCAACCCCAGAGTCGGCCATGACTAGACCTAATGGTCAGGGGTCCCTTTACCTTTACTTTACTCCTTTAGATGCCTACCAAGCATTTTCTTATTTCAGCAGGCCTGTACAGAAACATTGGCCCAGGTTCAACTACTGTGGCATGCTAGTGGAACCCAGTGCTAGGCATTCCTTTAGCACAACAGGGCTTCTCCACCCTGACGCCTCACCCAGATCCAGGGTCAGGAGAAGGCCTAGAAAAGTGCCTGTGGGTGAGGAGAAGGGGAATCATTTTGTCTAGTGAGCAGAAATGCTTACACTAATGGAACAATCAAAAGAGCACAATGTTGAATCCCCCCGTTGTTTGATCACATCATTTATTTGTTTTTATTAAATTTATATTCCACCCTACACCCGTAGATATCAAGGCGGTTGACAACATAAAATTACAATATATAAAAAATACATAATACGAAGAAGAACAAAGACAACCCAATAATCCCCCATTCCATAACACATTTAAAGGAGCATTGGATATCAATCAGCCAAAAGTCTGGTTGAAGAGGAACTGGTTTTAAAGGTATTTTATTATTATTATTAAATAAATTGTTGCTGCCATGGGCTCTTTTGGGAGGAAGATTGGATATAAATTTAACAGGTAAAAAAGAGAAAAATATCCCATGCTTAGTTGTCCCTCACATTAGCCCAGGTCTTTGCAGCAGCAGTGACAGTAAATTGGTTTGTGTAGAACAAAGGTGCAGATGAGAGAGGGCATTGCAAGTAAAACCAAGAAACCACAGCTTTGTGAGTCTAGAGAACGGCACCTATATAGACCACTGTGCAGAGTGAATGGTCACTGTATGTGTTCTTATAGGTATTCACTGTGAGATTTATGAAGGCTCCCCAAGAGCTGTTGCACGTGTAATCGAAACTACCGTGGAGCACGGAGAAGCAAGTCATGAGGCTGCAAAAAGCTAAGCGCAAACTTGGAAGCAAATGCACAGAGTCTTAAACAGAGGAAGAAGGACACTCAGATGGCCTCTATTGCTACCCTTGTGATCCAGCTTGCAATTGTGAAATGTGGCCCATGGTTATTGCATACTTCTGTGAACTTTTAACACTTTGAATGGATTAGAGTGTCTTATTTTGATTACATCCACATTGTTCGCTGTGATAAGATTAGGTTCTTTAGTCATTAAAAAGAAATGTTTGGCTTAAATCCATTGAATTCAGGCATGCAGTGAGTGGAAAAAACTAGACTGCAGCTCTTCATATTGTGCATATGTGACACATGTTAGCAATTAATCAAACTATAGTCACCTCTAATTAACAGCAATACTAAAGCCAAAATATGGCAGAAACAGATGACAAAAGAATTGAGCGGATAGAATACTGAGAGAGGAAAATATATTCCAGGAACACTGAAAGATTTTTAACTGTGCTGTGGCTCTCTTAATGGCTGTCAATATTTAAGCAGTTATTAGAGAGCTTTTCCTACATTGGTGCAACTTCTGAAAGATTTATTGGTTGTATAGATTTGCAGTGATGGTATATATGTAATGACAGAATGGAGTAAACATACACATACCTGTTTTGAGGCTTCAGAACATGGCATACTGAGGGAAAGGCTTGAAAGTGGGGTTGATGATTCTCTTTACAACAGCAACAGACTGTACAAAAAGTATAGTAATTTAATTCACTGAAATTATAAATGCTTTCATATATTACTATGTGTTTGAATTTGATTGGTTGGTAACTGAATTCTAGAGAGTTCTCTAGCAGTTCTCATATGATTGGCTAATGTTGGTCGCATAAGATATTTAGTGAAGGAGAGACTCCATTTATGTCAAAGTCTGGACATTGGTTTAATTTCCAAAGAAGGGTGTCAGTCATATACTTGATTTGAGGTTCTCAGCTACGATTTTGCTACCCTTATTTCAACACTGTTACATCTGTATAGGACTACTACATACCACACATAGTTAAACAATGAAATTCTCTCCCACAAGAGCTAGTACAGTGGTACCTCTGGTTGCGAACGGGATCCGTTCCGGAGGCCCGTTCTCAACATGAAAAGAGCCGCGCGGGTTGTGATTCGCCGCTTCTGCGCATGTGCATGATGTAATTTTGCATGTCTGCGCATGCGCGAGTGGCAAAACCCGGAAGTAACCCTTTCCGGTACTTCTGAGTTGCCGTGGAACGTATCCTAAAAGAACATAACATGAAGCAAACGTAACATGAGGTAGGACTGTAATGGCCACCAACTTGGATGGCTAGCAACTGTTGATGGCTTTATCCTCCATGAATTTGTCATAATTCTGTCTTAAAGTCATTCTAGTTGGATATCAGCTGCATCCCATTGCTGACAGAGGGGGAGAACATGGAGAGACAGGAGGAGGTAATTAGGCAGGAATGCGGAACGAGGGAAGAGCAACCTAGTTGCAGTAGAAGCCTGAGCTCTGATAACAAGGAGAAGGAAAGGGGGGAGTTCAAGGGAGAAGACACAGACTGACAGTTTAAGCTCAGACTCAGAGGGAGGGCCACCGGAAATAGCCCATCCCATAATGCGTAGGCGCGCAAGAATTAATGAGAGGCATGAGCAGGAAGGAAGCGAAAGTGGGGCTTAAAATGTGGGAAGAGGAAGGGGCGGAACTCAGATTCGGCAACAGCTAATTTGGAAGCAGACGCTGAGTGACTGAGCCCCAGAGTGATTTGTGTGCTTTGAACAATAAACCTGTGTTAATTACTGCCGGATTTGTCTCGCTTCTGTGGAAGAGACCCAACCATTACAATGGTGACCACCACTTTTTCTCAGGGAAGTGTTGGCTTAGAAGGCTGCTGCTCAGGTGTCATCTGTGATAGACAGCTTCAAGGCACCCTCCATTCTCCCTTCTTTATCGTTCAGGCTGGACCAACACCTGCTCAAACAGAGGACTATCCTCTTTAAAATAGGACACATGACCATGGTTCTATGGCTCTAAGTCCAGTCAAATAAATCAAAAGAGACTCCTTACTTGCCACTTCCTTATTTTGCCTGTGTTCCTTTCTGTTTGGTTCCGTTCCCAAGAAAATACATCAAAACATTTTTTTGAGGTTCAAAGTTTCACAAGTTTCCAGTGTCAGTTTTATGAATACAATTTGTACATTTGTATTGCAAATGTCCATAGCCATCTGATTATGCTTCTGACTGCAAGGAATTCATATTTAACTGTCTAATGTTTTATGTATTTATTGCAGCAATGTCGCCTTGTTCCATCCCATGTGGGGCCTGATACATGGGAGGATTCTGGTTCACTGCACATTTTGGGGTTAACTGTTCCATTTTGCCTGCTTGGAACCATGTACAGATAACAACAACCATTACATGTGTATTAAGCATGTAATTAATTTACTGAACCCACATGGGTCTGAATTGTACTTTTGAGGTGGTCTGAGGGTTTATAAGGAAGGAGCTAGTTCTAAGAAGCCATTCCAATAATATCTCATTAAACCATGAGGAATTTCCTCATTTGGGACCTCTGTAATGTCACAACCCAATATACTGTATATTAACAAACTATTGTTAATTCGTGCCATAATAAAAACTTTACGATCTGGAAGAAAAAATAGAGAAATTCCTTATGCTTTCCTTATTCATGATACCTGAAGTAAATAACTGTCTTCTTTGTTTAAAACATACTAATGTAGGAATGTTGTTGAGACTGGGCATGATCATATTTGTATCTTTGACATGTGATCAAACGTTTTCCAAAAGGCACATTTTTTCCCCTTCACCTTAAGCTCTCTTGATACTTTAATGTCTTTGTGAGAGTTGGTCAACCATATTACAAAGACCAGCACAATGGTCACCATAATGATAAGAAGATATAGGTGGTATCTACATATTGCAAGGAAAATGTTCTCACAGTGGGTGGAATCTAACAGAAGAACTTTTGATCTAGCTGAAGAATATGCTAACAGAAGAGGAGGGTGGACTAAGCCCTCCTCCACGTGGTCTGCAGCAATCCCACAATCAGCTCCAGAGAAGTTATTCTAGAACAAGGTAGAAGGTGTTGATGGTGGTGGGCTGAGGACTGAAGGAGGAATCAGGGGGGGAAATTGCTTCTCTCTACTTCCATTAGCAGATAGATGCACCTGCAAAATCAAAAGGCTCCCCTGGAGTGTAAGAGCACGAAATGGATTCCACATGTACAGGAATCTTAAGAATTGTGGTGAAATATTAGGAATTATGGGGAAATAAATTGGGAGCTTTATTAATCCACTTAGACATTCCAGGGGTGGGGTGCGGGGGAGTTGGTGCTATACTTGGAAGAATTGTTTTGCAAAAAGTGTGACGGTGCTGAGGAGAAATGTCAAGCAACAGGAGGTAATGGGAAAGTGCTACTCTGAGTATGCTTAGAAAAAAACCACACAATTCTCTCTCACAACCCAATTTCCTTTGGCATTCTACTTAAGAGAGAGAGAGAGAGAGAGAGAGAGAGAGAGAGAGAGAGAGAGAGAATCCAAATAGGAAAATCAGTTTCTGTTCTGGAAAAGAATGGAGAATTGCAAGAGCCCTCATCTAACCTCCCTTCCACCCAACATGGCATTGGATAAGGTGGATACAGAGGTGGATTTTGGGCAGAGCAACCAGTTCCATCGCACTGGGCGCAGAGCCTAGGGGGTGCCACAGGGTGCTGCAACTATGACCTAGTGAATTGAGCAGAATGGAAGGTGAGAGGTGGGGGTGAATTTTGGCCTTGCACAGAGTGCTGCTGAAATGTGAAAGACCAAAGTCTGTCCATGGTGAATAAAATGTTTTCCACCTCTCCCCAGCCTAGGTCTGTATCATTCAAGCTTCTGCAATTATTCTCTTCCCAATACAACAAATTTCTCCTCATCCAAAAGTTCCTCTCACAGCTGAACCACCCATTGTTTGAGAGGGGACAGATTTACAGCCTTGTGCAAACCTCATGCTTCCCTTTTCCCCACAGAAAGTAACGTTTATTAAGTATATTTATTTTAGTAAGTAATTTATAGATCGCCCTTTGCCAAAAGACCAAAGGGCAGTCTGCAACATAAAGATAACACAATGGCCATACAATGGAAGCATTTAAAAACAAGTATTTCAATACAACTCATAATAAGAGCAGTAGCATTAAACTACAGTAAGCCCACATCTTATGTGAGGGTTACATCTGGGGATCGCTCTTGGAGCTAAAATAGCATATAGTCAAAAGCCATTGGGTTCAATGCTGGGTAGGAGAGCCAAAGTCATTTTTCCTGGAACCCTTTCCACCCCCCTCCTCCTCCTCCTCCTCCTCCTCCTTCCCCATACACATTATGCTGAATGAGCACAAGTTAAATGTGCGTGGGCTTGCTGCATTCATAAATGACTACAGTCACCGTACTTTTCATCCAAAAGCATGCTGGGAACGTACTGGGAGCCAATGTAGGTCTTTCAGGACCGGTGTTATATGATTTGGGTGGCCACTCCCAGGCACCAGTCTGGCTGCCACATTCTGGGTTAGTTGTAGTTTCTGGGTCACCTTCAAAGGTAGCCCCACATAGAGCACATTGCAGTAGTCCAAACAAGAAATAACTAGAGCATGCACCACTCTGGCGAGACAGTCTGCGGGCAGATAGGGTCTCAGCCTGCATATCAGATGGAGCTGGTAGACAGCTGCCCTGGACATAGAATAATGATGGTTCAAGGAGCCATATTTACTCATAAGAGTAAATATAGGTGTAAAGAGTAAATATAAGGCTAAATAGTAACTGGCAACTATTTACTTACACAACACAGGACCATAGGAACCTGCCTTCTAGTGAGCCAGACCATTGGTCCATCTATTTCTGCATTGCCTACCCTGACTGGTTATGTCTGTCCAGGATTTCAGATGGGATTTTCTCCCAGCCCTACCAGGAGAGGCTAGGGATTGAACCTGAAACCTTCTGCATGCAAAGCAGATTCTCTACCTCTCCCTTCCTCAAAAGAATAGCAAAGAGGTGTACTTTGAAACATACGTTTGGGGTTCCAGTTAAAGGCTCTGTTCATCCCCCAATCATCTTGTTACTTTCTGCTCATTTAACATGCATCATAGGACTTAGTTGGAGCCATTTAGAAGAGTCCTGTGTATTATTATGAGAGTCCCTCTTTTCTCTATATCCAGAAAAATGAGTGAATAGATTCCTTATTGCAAGGACTGATAATGACTTCTGCATTTGGCTGCTAGTAGTGATTTGATTTTTTTCCAGAGGTTGAACTTTATGAAGAAACATGAGCAATACTGCAAAAAAGGCCCAGAACAATCAAATGAAAAGTTCAAACAATGCACTAAAACTCTTCTGTCAGCGGAAAAAAAGAATATTCAGGCTTTGCAGCAAAAAATAACGCCAGTTTATTTGAAAGAAAAAGGGTTGCAGTTTTGGAAGGCAAAGGGGCGACGACAGTAATCATAAGAGGCCCCAGCCATCTTAAGGGAGTTGACTTTGGTGAAAGTCCAGGTAATACAGAATACCCCTGTAATTTGGGGGTGGCAAGGCAGGGAAAACGGGCATCTTAGCTATCTCCTCTGACATGGACACATTCGAAGGCCTATGAGAGGGATGAACAAGAAGAGACAACCAGGAATCAGACTCATTTTAGACTCTGGGACAGCTCAGTCAGGAGAGCATGAGACTGTTAATCTCAGGGTTGTGGTTTTGAGCCGCACCTTGGGGGAAAAACCATTTCATTGCAGGTGGTTGGACTAGATGACCAGTACCGTCCCTTCCAACTTTACAATTCTATTATTCTATGATTCTGTGTCCAGGGAATACTGAGAGGCAAAGGGAAGTGTGTTAAGAATATAAGGAGAACCTGCTGGATGAGGTCAATGGCTCGTCTAGTCCAGCATCTTGTTCTCACAGTGGCCAACCAGATGCCTCAAGGATTTGAACACAAGAGCACTCTCCCCTCCTGTGGTTTCCAACAACTATGGAGACAGAGTACAGCCTGGGAATTGCTTCTAAGAGTCACCCCACCTTTCCCAAAGTAATCAACATGTGAAACTTCTCCTAGTTGCCAAGATAGAGGTGGACAGAGATGGATTTGATGTGG